CAGCAGACCTTGCTGAAAGAGACATGAGAGCGTGAGAAAAATAATAAAAAAATTGGGAGGAAGAATGCCTGACAGAGATTTTGACAGTGCTTTCTGAAGCAGGAAATCCTTTTGCTTAATATGTTTAAATTTTCCAAACACCAAGGAAAACATGCAGATCCCCACAGGAGAACTTTTCAGGATGACAGAATAAACATCTACACAACTGAAATATTTGACGTTTATTGACATTTTAGGTGGCTTATTTAGAACGGTGATCTTATAACAAGGAAGTTAAAGAACTTCTGAAGTCTCATTAAATTTACATCTTGCTTTTGAGCAACCAAGACCCACCAAACATTCTCTGTGTGTTTCAAACACCAAGAGGAAGGACTGCCCTTTACAGTGCAAGATTGATTCTGGAAAAGTAAAGGTGTTAGCTTAAAAATGTTTCTTTGGAGGTGGTTGGGTTTTGGTGTGGTTTTTTTCTTTCTTCTGTAAGCAAACATTCAAAACCAAGGTAAGCGGAAAGAGATAAAAGGGAAAAAAAAAATTATCGTGTGTTTCATGTCGTTTGTTTAAATTTAAAAATGAGCACCGGGGGAAATTTGGAATAAGAAGTGGAAATGTGGTGTAGCGTATCATTGGAAGTTTTTAACATTAGGTACCATGTATAAAGTTTATTTTATTTTCCAACTCATACTGAGATGGTTCGCAAAGCATCTGCCAGAACACAGACTACTGGTTTGAGGTGTCAAATAAATTAATAGTGTATATATGGATACACATCTGTAAAAGTACATATCTGTGTGTGTATGCACATTACAGAATTTTAGATATATAAACACACACCAACACACACACAGAGCGTTTTCATGTTGCTCACCAAACCCATGACATGCAGTTTTTAGCCAAGCACCTCACTGCTGTCAGAGTTTTCCCAAGGCCTGGAAGGGTCTGGAAATGAGCAGCCATCCCCTCTCAGCACTTCTGTGCAGTGACAGACGGCTTGAGTCATGCTTCACCTTAGGAGAAAAAAAAGAATGAGTAATCATTTTGTTTGAATTGCAATAAGTATGAAATATTTCTTAGGAGCCAAAAAAAAAATCTTGGAAAAGAAGAAGGATATTCTTAAATGGCTGGTCATAATAGAAGAATTGTCACATTGTAGAACTTCTTTCTTAAAGGGAAGAAAGTGTTGGAGTTTCAAAATATTTCATTCATGAGTGTATGAAATGAGCGCACAGGATAGCACTTTAGAAGAATTTAAACGGGTAATTAAAAATTAAATAACTGCAATTACCTGCTTTTGCTTTAATAAGTGCAATTTGTCTTTGATGTGAATATCTAGTGAAAAACCCCAACCTCTTCCCTTGGACCCCAACGATATATGATTATTGGAAGAGTGAAAGTATTACCAAGTTTCCTGCGTTGCCAGCAAGGTGCCTTTCTGCAGCCAATTTGCATTTTAGTTTTGTAACATTTTGGCTGTTGAAGCCATTATGTCGGTAGATACCGACTGCATCGTTGTTTTAGGAAGGTAAAGAGTGCTGCTGGGAAAAAAGTCCCTTTCTCTCCCTCCCTCCACCCCTTCCTAAAAATGACAGATTTTTTTTTTTTCCTAAAAAGGAACACCCTCAATTGAAAACTGCCATTGTCTTTGAAATTTGCTCCTTTAAAGTAGAACTGTGTTTTCAGAGAAAACGTGTGTGCTGGCTATAGTTTTCTGGGTTAAATTCTTATTTTCACTTCAAAAATTTCTTTTCAGCTGGAAAAATGTTTTAAATTATAGCCATTAAAAAAAATTGCTCCTAGCAAGCAAAAATACTGTGGAAAACCTGTAATTTAGACAAGTACCTACATTTTATTTGCTCTGTGCTGCTGAAATTTAGAATCTCTTCCCATTTACAGTTTACTTTTCACAGAACATTATTAACTTTTTGGCTTCATACATGATCTTCTGTCAGATGCTTTTGATTTGTAATTTAGCAAAGTATAATAAACAGTGCAAAAGTCATGAATTTTCCTCTGCATCCTGAGCTCTGTGGTAGGGAAAATGTGATAAAATGTGTACCTTAAGTCTTGTTTGATGATCTCTCAAAGCAAGTTTGCCTTCTGGAAATAATTTCTGGGGTTGAAGAGCATGGTATTAACAGATTTAATGTGGCTATTCAATGGATTGGTGGAGTACTATGTGAGGTTTAACAAAATGAGAGAGACAAATTGAACATCAACAAAACCTACATCTGTGAAGAATTATAAATTTAATTAGAAAAAAGGGCAAACTTAAAAGACCTCATTAACTAATCAGAATTTGATGTTACTGATTTAAGATTCTTAAATGGATGAATTTTAAGTAGCTTTGCTATCATTGTCCTTTTTTTTCTCGCCATGTAGTGCATAGAGCCCAATCTGCAATCTGTATTGAGGAGAAAGATGTGAATGTTACTGACAAAAATCAAATTATACAGAGTAATGTTTTTGAGGCATTAAGAAGAACGTGTATGCCATTTAGCATGTGAGGCATTTGTAGTTTTAGCAGAGCACTGAGTGAAGGGGGTGTGACAGCCCCCCCCCCCCCTTTTTTTTTCTTTTTTTTTTTTTTTTAAAGTGACCCATTTCTGTCTGGGTAAGGCCAAGCATTTGGGTTTTTTCCCCTACTTTTTATTTGATATGTGAGTTATATTGCCAAACTTCAATTATCCAGAAACCTGTTGACAAAATGGGAATATATGAGAGAAAGCACAAGCACACACCACCCGGAAATGTTTTTATTCTATGAACTAACTGGTCGTCATAAGTGTGGTTCCTTACTACGTTGTAATTTTGTACTGCACATAAAAAACTGAAAGCATGTGAAGTGTAGCATTTTGTAAACTGTAACTAATTTCACTCACATCTGTGTCTAATTGTTGTCTGCATTCGCATTCTTGAGAGTAGATTTATTTTTCCTGGACCACTCTGTGGATTCAGCTGACCAGCCTAAGTGAGGATTAGTTGTTTTAAAGTTATTTTGATTAAAGAGTCGTTTTTAAATTTGGTAACGTGCAACACATGGTTCAAATAATCCTTGAGACACAAAGGAATATATCTAAAGTATGTCTAATGAAAATGAAAATTGTGGATATGAACTTTCACAAATCATGGAGTGTTGGAGGACATTTTAGGTATATATTTAATTTGCTTTGGATGAGCTGGTTATTTTTTTTTTTTCCCTGTCCCACGAATTCATAAATGAGATCTTCCTTATAAATAAGATCTTCCTTGCTAGACATATACATGAGCATGTATATAATGTATATCTTTTCAAATGTTCAGAAGTTACTATTTTTGTAAAAAACTGGTACTTAAAATAGTGAGGATTACATTTTTTTTTTATTTTAATCAAGTATGAATAATTGTGTAGTGAATGTTGGAAAATATCAGTTAGTTAAATCATCCATTTGAAAAAGGAAGTTTTTTCTATTATAAAAGATGGGTTTTAAAAGATCCGGTGCAAGAGGGAGTGAAGATAGCTCTGTAGGCAAACTTAGTTCTCACCTATAATTTTTTCCAGGTGTTTAGAAGTAACAGCAGAAGCATATCCTAAGGCACTCTGCAGCAGTTTCTGGGGTAAAGAACTAAGGGGAAAAAAAAAATCCTTAAACCAAAATGCACAGTTTTGACTGTATCTGCTAGTCTAGTTTGATTTGGCATGCAGCGATGTATTGAAAAGCGTGTTATGCAGTACTTTAAGTACCCAGTTATAAAAAGATTGATGTTTTTCAGCATGCATTATTGCATGCTTCTTGACATCATTTGTAATGTTCCTCCTTGCCTGACTGCCCCTAGCAGTTGTTTACTCTTGCTAGTAGTAATTCTGTCTGTGATTAAAAATAACAGAGAACCCACCCTACAGACACATAAGTAGGATTTGCTCGGATGATTTTTATGGCACTTAAAATGCCTCATCTCCCTTGTCTTTGCTCTGTGATCATTTAAGAGATGTCAGTTCAGGTTGACTGGAAACGCACAAGAAAGATCCTCACTGCAGACATTAAGGGGATATATACCTTGCCCAGAGAAGCTTTCGTGTGCTTCCAAGCTAACACTGTCTAGCAGTGTCTTTCCACCTGAATTTTATCACCTGCTGACAATTGTCACTGGCTAGAGTTTGTTAGTAAAGCAACAGTGTTTTTTCTGATGGAATAGGAAAGCTGTTAACTCACCTGAGTTACAAAAGGAATAATTTGGTTAAACTAAAAAATTATTGGTCGGCTTCCCGGTGGAACCAGATTCCTTTTCTTCATGAGTGACATCAGAGGTAAATGCTACAGCTTCCTCCCATTTATTTAGCTGAAGGTGTCCTTTTAAGTAATTTTATCAAAAATCTCATTAGCAACTGGAATTTTTAGGAGTAAGACTATATGTGTGGAGTTTTTATTTAAATTTGACCTGGCTGGAGATGGGCTTCTTTTAGAGATGCTTCTGTAAGGTTGTTGGCTATATAGTGAAGGTCTTTACCATAGGTAGATTTGCCCCTTGATATTCTCTACCCCTCTCCCCCCCAAAAAAAAAGTAACATCAGCATCTCCAGCTTGCCTTTGGAGTTCCCTGTGGCCCAGGCACAGAGGAAGGATGGCGAAGAGCAAAGGAGGAAAAGCAGTGTGATGAGGGCAAGAGCGCGTGGAGACGGAAGGAGACGGGAGGGATGAGAGGAGTGAGGATGCTGAGGGGCTCGGGCAGGAGCAGCTGGCGCTGCCCTTGGCGGGGTTACCTTGGCGGGGCAGAGCCGAGCCGAGCCGAGCCGAGCCGGGGGAGGAGAGAGCCCCTGTGCAGCTGTCACGGGCCCCTGATGAATCACTATCCCGTCACTTGGCTGCCGTCCCCTGGCGCGGGAGGAGGGAGAGAGACCTGCCGGGGAAACAACAGTTGAGCCTTCAATTTAAAGACAATATGCCTTTCAGGGGCAGCGCACCCTCCTCCTCTCCCTTTGGATTTAAAGGACAGAATTGTCATCCGTGGTGATATCCTTGCTTTAAATTAAGGCCTCATAGTAAAGTGGAGTAATAGAAGCTTCTGTTTGTTTCCCTGGTTTACAGGTGCAGAAGTCCCAAACCGGTTCAGATGTTGCTGTTTCCTCAAGCTGCAGGTAAGGATTTGACTGAAAATTGCTGGTTTTTTGCAAGCCTTCTGTTGTTGGGGATTTTTTAACTTCAAGTGATAAGTAAAATATTTATACCTGTTTCCCACATTAAGTGCTGGAGCGTAGCTTTTACGTGTTTACAAGTCTGTAAACCATGAGCATGTAACTTTTTCACTAAATTGTTTGAGTTTTTATTCAATGCTGGCGTTCTGAACTCATTGCAGTATCATCTTCTTCATTTTGTGTAGATTGTTTTAGGTAAAGAAATATTGAATGAAGGATCTATGTTTAGAACCTGTGATAAAATTTCAGTTAAAATACAAAAACTTCATACCTAAAATGACGCTTAGGATATTTATACCATTACTGCAGGAGTAATTTTATATATAATTTTAATAGTCTTTAAAAGAGCCGAAGCATTTCTTTTAAACTGAGAAATTACTGGTTCAAATGCCTTGGAGGCACAGTAACCTATGAAGTTTCTGCTGGGAGCAATTACTTAGAATGGGTACATCAAATAACAATATCAGAAGTTTTAGGTATAAAGGAGCAGAAGGACAGGTTACCTCAGTCGTAAGCCCCAACATCAACCACGGGGTATGTCATGGTGGTGATGGCTGTTAATATAAGGCTATTGAAAGCACAAATCTTAAATATTCAGCTGCTTTTGTGCCACTTAAACATTTAATTTTTGCTTGAGATGGGGATTGCTGTTTTCTCATCTTGGCTAAGCGACAGCTGCCGAGATACAGCAGAGTGCTGAGGCACACTAACGCTTGTATGGATTCACCGTACGTCGCTCATATCCCTTTCCAATTGGGCACGCTTTATGTAATCCACAAAGCAAACAAGTGAGCAGACATAATAATGTTTTAATGCTGCATTTGTTTCAAAGGAAACAGAGGAACAATTAAGTAGTTTGCCAGAGTAAACACATACATCAGGAATATCTCATTCCCTGTCAGTAGATGATGGGTTTCCACAATTGCTTCAAGTGTTTTATTTGTTTTGGAGGCTCATTATGTTGCCACTGAGTGGTAAATCTTGAAAAAGCAGAGTGTTAATTTGTTTTTAAGAGAATATATGTTGTTATACGTTGGTGATTCCATCTTTGTGCATATTTAAAAATACAAGATTACATCAATTTGTAAAGTGCAGTGCTTGGAATCTAAGTTTTATTTAGTTACGAGCTGCAAAAATAATTACAGTAGCTGGCCAGTCATGAGTGGGGCTACAGCATGAGTTAAGCACTGGAAAACATCAAGTTGGGAGAAGCAGTTAATTTTTTTACTAAGCGTTTCTGGGATGTTGATAAATAGCAGGCTACATCTCATAAAGGCAGCTCATCTGTAATTCATATTGACTTATGTCACTAAAACTAATTGCATCTTGTTTTCAGGTCTATGGAAATGCAGGATCTAGCCAGCCCACATAGACGACTAAGTGGTAGTAGTGAATCCCCCAGTGGTCCAAAACTTGATAACTCCCATATAAATAATAATTCCATGACACCCAATGGCACAGAAGGTGAGCCAGCCTATTTTATTTATTTTTTTCTTTAGTATTGCATAATTTGTTTTTCCTCCTCTTTGCTTTGGCGTTGTTACAGTCAGCAAGCTAAATAATGTTTTACTATTCTAGGTGTTCTGTGTTTATTCATATGGTACATAAAGGCAATGTTCAATGTTTATCAGTAGTTACTATTATCAAGTTTCAGCAATAGCTTTCATTACAGGTTTATGTTTCTTTCATGGAGTTTGAATGGACTGAGCAGGTAGTATGTGCAGAGCTTAAATTTAAAAAAAGTCAAAAAAACCGAAAAGGAAGTTTAATGATGAGGGAGAAAAAAAGTAGGTGCTTACAATTGCCATAGTACAAAATGTAATTTTTCAGGGTTTTTTTACTATTTTGGTATTTCTTTATGTTCTCACTTTTTGCAAGCTCCTAAGGCTGTGAGAATTTTGTCAAGTAGGCTAATAAAACTGAGTGTTGAAAGTTCCTCAGGCTAGCTTGCTGCTCTGATGGAGTGGCCAAAATTCAAACAGGTGTAGTAATTCAGTGGGGTAAACTGATACCTATTTCTCAAGAAGCAGTCAGGCAGTTGATAAGTTATGTTTGTTCTCAGTAGAATACTAACTACAGAACAACCTAACAGCTTCGCCAGAAATATAATACATCTATAATAAATATAATAATTCATATAATGAAACACAGAAGCGCTTATACGACAAGCAGCAAAAAATGCTCTTTCCTGTAGCATTTCTATGGCAATAGTGGGAGAGATCATACATGACATTTGACTGGCTGTGTGAACAGAGACTTTATGCAATACTAGAAAAGAGAGTCATGCAGATTCAGTATTGCTCTTCAGTATAAATGTATAGGTAAACTGCTACAACTGTTGTAGCAAAGATATGGTTTTTTTTCCTAAGAACTGGGTTGTAGTAATGCTGTCAGACTCTTTAAGATTATGGACATGCATTGCATTTTTCCAGGAAAGGCACATGTCAATCAAACAGATGTTGTCCCCCCCTTCAATTCCCCAAATATCTCTGTTATTCATTGTAATTGGAGTCCTTGGTAGTGGGGACAGTTTATGGGTTATCAGATTAACAGGAACTTGTGCCAGACTTGTGTGTGTAACTTACTTTTTGCTATTGCTGTAAAAGTATTGCTTCAATCGAATATTAAGCCATTTGGAAAAAAAAAAAATACCTTTTTAAAGGATAAATAAAATGCTTACTGTGCTCATGTAGTTTAGGGAGGAAAATATTTTATGTCCATAAATGAGTCTTCTTCCTTTAAAATACACAAGTATGTTATTATATTTTTATATCATATTACCTGGTATATACCACTTTTGGTACAGGATAAAATTGCTCTTTCAAATTAAAATTCCTCTAGCTCACAGAAGCCTTTGTTGGCAACTTCATGAGCTTTAATACCTTCTGTAGAACTTGAAGGTTCTTTTGTAGCACAAAAATAGGAGGTGTTCCTTGAAGCACTGAAAGATGCTCATCATCTGACTTTTTTTGTTCAACATGTAGTGCTATGTGCATATACTCTGAGAAATGCTTAATATTACTTTGTCAGGAAACAAGGTATATATTGTATTTATCTATTAATGCACTGACCTCAGGTGGAAAATAATTTTGGAAATAATATCTCAGCTTCTAGGTAGGTTGATTTTATTGAAGAAAGTCAATTAAACCATGGTAACTCACTTATCTGACGCTAGAACCTTCCAGTTTAAAAAAATTTGGAGTGAAATTCTACCCAGAAAGCTCTAACTTGCAATTCATGTTTGCCTCCTGAGATGAAGCCAAACGATTTTCTTTTGTTTGCCCTTTTCCCTCAGGTGACATGACCCTCCTCAGCACTGCAGACTGGTTGCTCAGCCCTAGCACACAGAGCCCCGCAGGTTTGGGTGCTGCAGTGGGCGCAGCAGGCGTGGGCACTCCGCATGCGATTTCGGATCTTGTCCCAAAAGTGTCCCCACAGATTAGCTTGTGCCTGGCCCTTCTGCTCTAAGCTCTCTAATTTGAAAATTCCTGTCTCTGATTGCTCTTAAGTGACAAAGAAGGAAAAGTTTTTCAAAGAAACTAATAGAATAATTTATTTCTGAATGAGATGTGTGCCAAGAGACAAAATTTGTGAGTGAAGCAGATGCCTAAGAATCTGAAGGTGGAATTTTTACTTCTAATCTGTTTTATCTTGAGAAAATGTTTTGTTAGGCTCCTTGAGCTGCTAAAGAGACTTAAGATAGAGTGGAGTCAATGAAGCAAAAGTTTCCTATTTTTTTAATGAAGGGTGAAGTAAAATTATTTTTTCTGGGATTCCTGAAGCAGAATCCTGCTGAGACACAAGTGGCTGATTGTAAGGATGCGGTTGTAAGGGCTCACTGAACACCTCTTTCTAGATGCTGCAATGTGGTTTGCTTGTTTGTTGCACATGGAGTGGAGATTTGGGTTGCTGAATTTTCACATGTCAAATTTAATATGTGAAACCAGATTCTAGTCTGCCATGCACACATTCTCACTAAGGTGGAAGAGCCCTCTTTCTCTAGCAAGAGATCTTCATGTGACAGAAAAGCAGGGCCTCTAGGTATTTGCATGTTATAAATATCTTGTAAAGATATGTTAAATTTGATTTGACTATGGGTGTGATTTGGACAGGTTTCCATACCCTGAAGCACAGGATATGTTCACTAGATGAGGGGAGGGGAAGAAAAAAGAAGGGAAAAAAATATCTGTCCCAAAGTGAAATGGCTGCATTTCAAACAAATGTTCATTAATTCCTCTAAGGCACATTTTCAGACTTGTCTTCTATTGATGTTTTTCTGCAAGAGGATGTGGTTGGAAGATAGCTCACTTTGTTAGCTAATATTTTTAGCTTCACTCTCAGCTGTAAGTTTTCAAAGCACTGAATGGGGATTTAGTTGTGCGATTGAGTCTGAACTTAACCTCTACATGCATCTTATATATAATAATTCTTTGTCTGCTTAATTTCACTTTGATAGAGCAAAATTCTTCTCTTGGCCAGGCAGCATGGTCTTCACTGATGGGGAAGTAACAAGGAAATTACAGACCTTGACCAGACAGAAATTTCCCAGGATCAAATGCAGAGGACTAAAATGTCTGGCTAAAGGCACTCAGAAAAATCAGTCTTAGTATGTCAAGGTGATGCTGATTATATAAATACCACAGTATTTGAGGTTTTCATGTTCTCTTTAAGTATATTTCCACAACATACCCTCTATTGTAAGAAAGAGCAGGTGCTGGACACCATAAAAGTTATGACCCTGTATAACTTGCCTCAGAAAATCTCTTAAAAAAATTACTGGTGTAGGGAGCAAAATGTTTGTAGTTTTGCCTTATCTCTAATCTTCCTTTGTCAGTGAATTGCCATGGTGGGTTGATACTGAAGGAGTTAAAGGAACAATAACAACAGAAGCTCATAAAATTGCCATTCATTAAGTTTTACCAGACAGCTGGTGGCTATTCCAACACGGTGCCCACTTTGGTAGATGCCCTTTCGAGGGGAAAGGCCGTGAGTAATCAGTAAATTTGAAAGGAGTAGGAAATCTGTTTTCCATGGCAGACAACTGCATCCAGTTTCTGCCTACAGTGATCTTTACTTTTATCTAAAGAATGTAAATCAAATCTGATGGATGGCATAGAGTGAGAAACAGAAGCCTGTGGCCCATCATGATGGCGTTTTTTGCAACTGGAATAGAAAAGAACAGATGAGGACTAGGAGAAGGAACTCCTAGTTATTTTCCTCCTGTTATTATTATAGAAAATAACTCCTGTTATTTTCTGAGCAGTTACTCTTTATTCATTTAAGGAGTACAGACCCGCTACTGCCCTTCTCTTTGAGTGTTCAAGAAGGAAGGAGGGAAGGCATTGTCATATCAAGTGGGGAGGGAAACTGGATAACAAATTGAAGATCAGATTTTCAAAGATACATAGGAAGAGAGGCTTCAAAGGGAGTTGGACATCAAAAATCCTTTGGAAAAAAATGATTCTCGCTCTTTAAGTACCTGCTGCAACATGAGAATGAGACCTGACACAAAGGCAGTCAAAGCTCTCCACTACGAGACTATCTGATTTGTAGCCATTAAAAAGGTTGTTTTAAGTCTGGTGAACATAAATCCATCTTCAGGGTTTCAAAAGGCACTGTGTGGTGTGTTTGCTGTCAAGTTGGAGTATTACAGAATGGAGAAAAAATTGTTTTCAGTATTTCCTAAAGGAGTGGGGGAGAAAGATGTTAAAATCTAGAGAGGGTAGAGCTGGTTGTTGTTATGGCATGTGATATAGATTTCTCTAATTATATTTCTTGAAATTCTAGCAGTATTTTGCTAATATGCGAAATGTTCTTTCAGTATTGCAATTAAGCAGTTTATATCAGTGGATGATTTTTAATTTATTCCTATTTTTTTTACATTTTTCGTATTTTTGTGTGCTTTGTGATGTAAAGTTGTGGTAGGTGATGGTAATCAGACAATCAGGAATCAGGAATTCTTTTGGTGATCCTGTTTGGATTCTGGTACTTTTAATTACTCATTTCTGGAGTTTCTGCTAATTATAAATTCTGAAATTTCTATACCTGATTTTGCAATAAGGAGCTTGATGGTATGAAACCTGTAATTGATAACTCCATATTTAGATGTCCTGAAATAATAGCATAGTAAAGGTAGATGTAATACTTGCCTTTCAGTAGGGTATTAGCATCATGAGCTGTGGATGCTGACTTCTTTACTCATCCTAGCAGAGTGCAGGAGGACTGTTGTTTGGCCAGGGGCAAAAACTGCAGAGGTCGTGGGCTCCCAAAAGCAAGCTGGGGGTCCGTAGAGGCTAGTAAGAATCTTCCACATGATGTCACTTCTGGAGGATAAAAATCAGATACAGCCAATTTATGTGAAGGCAAGGAGCTGACTTAGACTATCCTTTCTTCCCTTCTCTTCACCTTTTCTTTCCTTGCTGTATTACATTGGCTTCCTTCCAGATTCTTTGTCTTACCTGTGCTTTTATTCTCCTGTTTCACCAAGAGTTTTTCTGTCCTGAGCACATGTAGCATAATGCTCTATTATTCCTCTTTCATAGGCACTTGGCCAGTGAAATTACTTGTCCACTTCTCTGCTGACTCAGTCGAGCAGCTCTTGTTGCAAGGTCTTGGGGAGGAGACTGGCTAATAAATATTTATGTACTTACTGTCTTTTCTATATGTATGTGCATCCATTTTTGAAAGAGTCCCTATTTCAGTTTCCACCATACATTTTTCCTTTCAGGAAGGACATCATTTAAGTGATAAGTTAGTAGCAATACTGGTTCCCACAGGCATTTGAGGTTAACAAAATACCCCAAATGACAAATTAATTTTAAAGAAAAAAGGGAAACTCTTAGAAGCACCATTGCTTTAATATAATTTATTTTTGGAAGCTTCTCATATAGATGTTCAGAGCACATGTCTGTGGATGAAGCGTGGTAGTGTGAGAGCACCCTTTGAGTGTGTCTGAGGGTCCCAGAGCTCCATGTGAACAGTGGTTGTGCACAGGCTGTGGGGTTTCAAGGACCTGTGAGGATGTCCACTACTTTATTGAAAACTAGCCACAACACACCATTCTAGGGGAGGTGTCTTTCCAGTGTGACCAGCCTGTGCACTTGTGTGATTCTGTACAAAAATGTCATATGAAATGGTGTGTGTCATGTGCCTGGCCAGTGATACAGATGAGAAGGAAATCCAACCCCAGCTGTCACTGTGCACCTGCAGAAGGAACAGAAGTGGAACATCTTACCCAAAGATCACACCCTAATAGGGTAGTATTTGAAGAGCCTAACTTCAGACTTGTGGTTTGATGATTTAGCATTTGGATTTGCATCTTATAATCTTCTGATGGATTTTGCTTGTCCCCAGTAGATGAAAAAGCATGAAACTTGGTCACACTTCAGGGATAGCCATATCATTTGACCCTGGTCAGTGAGTGAAATACCTGTGTCACCAGGTTTGATGAAACAAGCTAGGGAATTTACTGCTGCTGCTGCTGTGGCTGGAGGGGAATGGAAGCTAGCACTATCCCTCTCTTTTGGGTGAATTTGGCTTTAAGTCTGTCAGTCCTGGAGTTCAGACATGGGCCAAATACAGAGCATACTATTTTCCATTTATGAAAAGTCCCGCCTGCTTTGTCATTGTGCTTCTGTCTTCATGAGATAGTCTTGTGTCTTGTACACCTGAATGGCAGAGCAGTCTTGACTTCTCCATGCTGCTCTCTCGTTCACTTGAAGACCTCCACGATCCCAGAAGGTAGTAAGGACAACCTTCTTTGCCTTTAATGGCTGGGCCTGTGATGTTCTGTGGTAATTTTGTCTGGCTTTGGTTAAAGAATATGAATACTGTTTGTGGACACTGCAAATTGTTAAACATGTGTGTGGTCTGATTCCCAGCTGAAAAGAGGAAAAGGAAAAATGGAAATGGAGTAGTCCATGACACTTCTGAAAGGATTGGTTTTGGATATATGCTTCCTCCATTTGCAGAGGAGAGATACAAGAATTTGCTATAATTGGACCTATGAGTGTGAAGGGATAAGAACCTTAGTTTGACTCAGATACTCTCATCTCCCAGCTGCAGTGAATTTTAACCCATGACTGTACTTGTCAGATAAATATCCAAGTTGAATCTTGCTTAGCAGCTACAAATACTGTCCACCTTGTCTCTGTCCAGATGTTTTTGAATTTTTTTTCTGATTTTGCATTGTAGCAGTGACACCATTGCTTTGTAAATTGAAGGTCTTTACTGCTAAATGAGGAAGTACAAGGGTGTTAAAGCTCTTTCACCTGAAATGCATAACATAAGAGGAAGATGAGGGTCATGGGGGTGTAGATGGCAAAACCTAAGTGTTAGCCATACCCAAATACTGGAGAA